TACACGCGGCTGCGTGGGCGGCAGCCGGGCGGTCGGGCGGGGGGGTGACAGCGCGCGTGGGAGCGCTGGGAGCATGCGTGTGCGGGCGCCTGCTCCGGGGCGCGTGCGCGAGAGAGCCACGTCCCGGGGGACTGCAGAGGGCCTGCAGCTACTGCTCCGAGGGGGGTGGCTGGGGGGTGCGGGTCTTCGGTGCCCCGTTAATCCCCATCATCACAAACCTGAAGCCACTAGAAATCAACGATTTAAAATAAAGCAGCGTGGTTGCTATGCAACCGCCGCCACAAGACAAAATCCTTGGCTCCCGGCTCCCGTCAGCTAGCCTCTCTCAGGGAGCCGCCTACGTAGAAATTGCGGAGCTGCTTCTGGGCGCGCTCTTCAGGCTCGTCCGCAGCCGGCTTCTGCACCAAGCCAAGATGGAATGCAGCCACCCGGTGGTCCGCTCCATTCCTACCCGCCCAGCATCGCCAGGCGTCAAAGTCAAGCAGTCTCTAGCTGTGTTGTAAAGAGGGGGAAGGAACTCCCTGGAAGAGTCTAGTGTGGTAGGGATCTTTACGTTTTTATCTAACTTACTCCACTACGTTCTGAGGCAGGTACTATCGTTCCCTTTATGAAGGAGGGATACTGCAACTAAAAGATGTTAAATAACCCGTGTAGGAACACCCAGCTAGTGAGTGTCGAGAACTAGAAGAATCTGAGATTTACCCTATTTGCAGACTAACATGTTAGCTTTCACAGTTTCATGGATGCTGACAGAACACACCAGACTCCTGGGTCAGAGAAGAAAGGCTATTACTCACAGCAAAAGCAGTAGCCAGAGTGTTAACATGCTTGTGTTGGCTCCCTGGACCACAACTCTCACAGGAACGAAGCATATGGGCCCAGATGCATGCTTTCACACAAAATGAGTTGCATTACAGGAGAGGACGTCTGAGCTTGAGGGACCCACCATGTTATACTGAGCAGTAAGCAAGCCTGCTCTTTGTTCCACATGGAGACATTACCTCATCCTTCAAGATTGCTCTCTGCAAACACAACCCTGAGAAATGGCCCACGTAAAGAGAGATCAGGGTCTTGCATTCTTGGCACACCCAGCAAGAATGTGCCAAGATGCTAATGGTGAATTTCCTCTCTGAACAGTAGTAGCAGAGCCGTGATTGATGCCAGGGCTGTCTATTTCATTCCACTATAACATAAAAAAAAGTTCCTTGACAACGAGCATCTTATGTATAACATTGTTATGCCCCTTTAAAATTAATGATATTAATCAAATGTCTTCACATTGCATGCAGGAAGAATTCTCACATGGACAAAATTATCCTTTTAAATAGAATATGGGGGACTGGCCCGTGGCTCACTTGGGAGAGTGTGGTGCTGACAACACTAAGTCAAGGGTTAAGATCCCCTTACTGTCATCTTTTTATTAAAACAAATAATAATAATAGAATATGGGTTTAAATCATACATATTTCAACAAATCTTTATTGAACTCTGCAATGTGCCAGGCACTGGTGGCATCTGAGGGTCTTCACTGGTCCTTGGAGTTGCTCACAGCCCAAATAGGGAAGGAGATGTTTGGTGTCTCTGGGGGAAAACCATATAGTATTTCTGCCCGGGGGCATTGGAACCAAATCTCAGATGAGTCATTGGCATGATTAAGTAACAATTCAGTCATATATAAAAGTTCTGGCAAAAACTCAGACTCATATATAAAAGTTCTGGGAAGAGGGAATTGGGGAAGAAATTTCATGCTAGGGAAAGGTGTGCATTTGCTTAATTCCACTTAATGAACCAAAGAATTGTAGATATTTGATTTCTTTACTAGCTGAGCCCCCAAACCCCTTGTCCATGTCATGGAAAATATTACCAATATACAGGGTTAGCAGAGAGTGTGGGAAAACCAGGCTTATGTGAAGCACCCTGTGATCGATTAAGGTTGACTTTTTATGTCCTACAATCGGAAAAGACTGGGAAAGTCACAGCAGAAATGTTCGGTGTGTGGTGGTTCTCTGACAACTAAGCAGTTTGTATTGAGTCTGGTTTTAGAGGCAGCAATGTTAGCACGTAAAGGAATGGAAATGTGTATTTAGCTACTCTCTGGGGATAAAGATCCAGTGGGTTTTGTCTTCCCCTTTTCTAAAGCTAAGAGCTGAATTTTCTCAGGCAGTATGTTACAGTAAACATACAGCAGCAATTATACAACAGCAGCAATTATACAACCTGAACCAAGAATTCCTGCAAGACCTCTTCCTTCCTGCCAAAAGAGGGAGCCAAAGCCTGGGTTATAACCACCTTCCAGCAGGCTGATCTCTGCCCATCCGCTGTCCCTGGACAGCAGAGCCCTAAATTAAACACTACTTTATGTTTTCAAGTTCAAATCCATTATACACCTTTGGGTGTATANTTGAGTCTGGTTTTAGAGGCAGCAATGTTAGCACGTAAAGGAATGGAAATGTGTATTTAGCTACTCTCTGGGGATAAAGATCCAGTGGGTTTTGTCTTCCCCTTTTCTAAAGCTAAGAGCTGAATTTTCTCAGGCAGTATGTTACAGTAAACATACAGCAGCAATTATACAACAGCAGCAATTATACAACCTGAACCAAGAATTCCTGCAAGACCTCTTCCTTCCTGCCAAAAGAGGGAGCCAAAGCCTGGGTTATAACCACCTTCCAGCAGGCTGATCTCTGCCCATCCGCTGTCCCTGGACAGCAGAGCCCTAAATTAAACACTACTTTATGTTTTCAAGTTCAAATCCATTATACACCTTTGGGTGTATACAATAACGCTTTTCCGGTTTGTACAGCAGTATTATTTTTAAATTACTATGTTGATCTGTTTGCAGTGCTTGGAAGTATTTTCAGCCTTCCCCAGAAGTTCTAGAAATCTGATGTATTACTGTATATTTTTACTAGCTTTGATTTATCCAGAGGGATAAGGTCGGTGGAGTTTCAGTTTAATTCAATTCAGTGAGTACTTAGGGATGATACCGTTAGGCTTACTGTGGGAAATAAAAGTGAAAGTTTAAGGCACACTTACTACTTTCAAGGATACTCCCAATTCCCTGGGAGAAATGCGACCTATTAATATGAAGCTATAAACAAATAATGCAAGATAGCATATGAAAAAGTGGCAAAATGTGATTGGGCATCCCTGCCAGTAAAATGTTTTTGAGTTTGCACCCCCTAATAATAAGCACGCGCTACTACACTAATTATAAAACATACCCCCAAAAAGAATTTTAAAAGGATGAGATTTTTTAAAAAACAAACAAAAACTCTGGTAGCAGAGGTGAAGACTACATACCGTGGAATCACACTCCTGGTGCTCAAATCTTGGCTCTGCCTCTTATTTGCAGGACTTGATCCTTAACTTCTCTGAGGTTTCTTTTCCTCATCTGAAAAATCATAAAGTTGTTAAGAGGATTACAGGAGTTAATCCTTGCAAGGATTTATATCAGTCCTGGTGCAATGTAAGTGTGTAACAACTGACTGCTTTTATTATTAGCAGGGAACTCAATAAAGAAATCTCACATCCTGCAGGAACAAACCAATTCAGATACAGCATCAGCTAAATTTGTTGCAAGTCGAATTACATTTTCCACCTCCCTATCCCACTCCTACTGAACTGTACACATCATTTCTGTTACCAAACAGAACACTTAGCTTCTCAGACTGAAAACAAATACCTTCAGCTTCAAGGTTTCTTCACAGTTCTCCCTTCAAGAACCT